ATAGATATTTCAAGAATTCGCTCAAGAACATATCCAGATCCTTTTTTTAATGTATCCTCAATTTGCTTATCTATTTCTTCAGCTGATTTAGTTATATGCTCATTTATATCATTTGTTAAAAGCAAATATCGCATCTTCCCTCTTTTATGATTGTATACAAATGATGTATGACTTGTGCCATTTCGATCTCTTTTAGTAATTGAATATAAACACAATACTACTATATCTGATTTTATTTGGTCTTTTCTACAAAATTCTGTTTAAAGAATTTCTGTTATTTTCGTACGAATTATTCCCATAAGTTGAGGCATATATGGAATTTCTTTATATTGTATAGGATTAGCTATTGGTTAAATAAAAGCATATTTGGAATTATTATCGGGATGAGGAACTTTGCCTACTCATTTGCTCATTAAAGATCGATTTTTATATGGTCTTTCTAGATCCCTTCCAACTGAACATTTTTTAAAGTAAATATCCTTCTAAGTATCTTATCGCACAACCTTACCAGGTTCTCTCTTTCTATGTGCTTAGGTTGCTGGGCCAGATCCAACTTCAGGATCCTCTTCTGGTTGGGAAACTTTAGTTTTATTTCGTGATCTAGTTCAGAAGTATTTCTACTTGAAGAATTTTCCATTAGATCAAACCATTCCGCATCTGTTTTTGGAATTTTTTACTAATGATGCTTGGGTTATTTTTTATCTTGGGATTTGCTAGCCAGTTGACTAAATTTTCTATAGATAAAGAAGTAGTTTCCTTTTGACTAGAAGTCTTAGGAGTTGATTCTGTAGAATAAAGTGCAGTTGATGTATGATTGTTATTGGGTAATGATACAATGGAAGAGTTATCCTGTTGATTTTGATCCATAGTTTCATCATCTGATAAAACAAATGTAGTTAAACTTGCAGTTTCAACATCACTTAATAGAAAATCTGGTGATGTTTCCTGACCAATTTTTTGTTTTTGATTTTTTTTTCGTGTTGTTTTTGCAGGATTTGTTTTTGTGCTACTCTCGTAGGAGTCATACTTGAATCTAATGATATCTTTTGACTTTTTTTTGTTTTTGATTTGTTTTTTATATTGCTTCCGTAGGAGTCGTACTTAAATTTGCTTTTCGTGTTCATGTTTTCTCACTGGAGCCTTTTTCGCCAGAGTAGTTTCATTGTTTAAAGTTATAAGCAAGATTACGTGTAGTATTGATTAAAAATATGATGCTATAATAGGAACAAATATTAATGAATTTTTGTAACATACCCTCATTCTCGTCAGACAGTTTTAATTCTATATTATAATAATAAAAGTTTTAAATAAATAGATAATATTTATTTAAGAATTTTTCAACTTACCAAATTTTCGTTTAGTCATATTAAAGTACAAACGAAAATTAGAAAAAGAAGTTTGTTTAAATTTGAAAATAACGATTAATTAAATAAGAAAAAAAAATCAATTAAAGAATTATTCAGATAATATTTAATCAATTAATCACAAAAGTCTTTAAACATTCTAATTTTAAATTAATCAATCATAAAAGTCTTAAAAGTCTTAAAAAGTATTTATATCATGATTTTACATTAATCAATCGCAGAAGTCTTAAAAAGTCTTTACATCAATCAATCGCAAAAAGTCTTTTATATTCTAAATTGGTTAATATTTCCTAATTCAGAAATCAATACTGTAAATAAAGAAAATTCTAATAATTATAAATTACATAAGCAAACAATATTTTTTTTTTATTATTTACAGTATACAATTTATTTAATATCTATGTAGTCAATTTATATTTTATTTTATTAGTTTTAATAAAAAGTTTAATTATTATACTATAAAAGCATACGTATCATTTTTTCATTTTAAATCAATTGTTTTACTCAAAAAAAAAAATATTGAAACGCCCAAGAAGAATTTCCCATACATATTATGCATCGATCCTGAAGTTACGTGTTAGATCATCTAAAAAGATACAAAATGAAGAAGATAATGAATCTTCAATATCTTCTGATAATTCTTCAGAACATATTGATAATGTTTCGGAACATATTAATACAGAAAGTGTTACTTCGGCTATTGAAGAAAAACTGGAGGTAGAGAGCTCCAACAGTTATATCTCATCAGAAATAATGATAAATGAAGTCAATTAATATGTTTTAATATTATAAATTATAACAGATGTTATAAAAAATTTCAGAAATCCTAATAACATATATTTTATAATTTCAAGGATTTTGATGAGCAAATGTAGGACTACCAACTTCCATATAAACCATTACTTAATACTGAAGAAGAAGAATTTTTCGAAGATTATGATCTGTTAGAAGAAGAGTCTTCTGATTTTAAAGGCTTCAATGGGGAATATGGTCCATATTTTCCTAATTTTACATCAGCAATGCTCTTTATCTGGATTACCAAACATATGATATGTGGGTATTATTTTGAATGAATGAGTTTAAAATAATTAACATACTAACATAACGATTTATTCACATAGCAACCTCTGCATATGAAGATCTCTTTAAGATTCTCACTCATCCTGAATATCGAAAAGAGGATCTTACTGCAAATATTTACCAGATTCATAAATGGCGAGATAGACTACCATTAATTAAAATACGCAAACACGAAGTACCCCTTTGTATGCAACGAATATCATCCACATATGAATCTACTAAAACAGCATTTATCATTTCTCCGATAATGTATTTGGAACGTATTTTAAATAATCCAGTACTCATGCCAAAGATGTACTTCAGACCCAGAGTGGTTACAGATGAACGATGAGAATTTTGGCATAGTGAACTCTGGTAAGATTCACCAATGTTTGGAAAACATGAAATAGAAACCAACAACGAAGGTTAGTAAAAAAATTTTTATAAAATTTATGTTTTAAAAAATAATAACTATTTTTTTACTAGTATATAAAGCAGGTGAATTTTTAGAATATCATAAACAATCTTCAACATTCATATGCCGTGTACGAAGTGTAGTAGTTGATGAAACTAACAATAATTCATTTAAACTAAAAATTAATCGAATCCTTTCATATGAGAATCTTCCTAACTGCCATTCAACAAATAACTGATATACTTGTGGAAATGGTAACGAGTTATGGTTAGTTGAAGGTGAAGTAAATTTGGTTGATCTGGCGAATATAGAACGACGTATTATTGTTTGGTTATGTGATATACCAGAACCTGAAGAATATGAATATTATATCAAAGAAATTGTATATCAATTCGATGGTAGATGGAAATTCCGTGATATAAAAATGCAGCATCGATTACCTTGTGAATATATTACATTCACACGATTACCACAACACCTTCCAATTTTAAAGATTTTTATAGACATTTATTTCGATGATTTTGGTACTTATAGAAACGTGTATCATTCCTTAGGTAAGGTGTATTTACAGTTCGGAAATATGCTACTAACATTTCAAAAACAGTTAAAAAACCATTTTTTAATAGGATTTGTTCCATTTGGAGCAAATTTTGATAATTTTATTGAACCGGTTCTTCAGGATATAAAGAGCTTGGGAAAAGGTCTTATTATGATAACTTTGAATGGTAATGCATTTGTTATAGGTGGTATTGGTTGCATTACTGTTGACTTGCCATAAGACAATGACTTAGCGGATGTGAAAAGACATAATGCTAAATACGGATGCCGAACATGTAATGTTCCAAATGATCAATATACTAGTATTGATTATAACTATATAAAAAATGCTCGCTTTCATCAGTAAACTGAGGAACGGTTTTTGGAAATCGCTAGACAAAATTCAAAGACAAGAAAAGAACGATTGGCAGCTGAATATGGTTTAGCAAAATCAGGACCGTTTAAAATACTTAAATGGGACTGACACTTTCAAACACCACATGATGCATATCACTCTATGGCTGGAAAGGCACGTACTTTACTGAAAGCGACGTTTAATGTGATTAATACGAATGGTGAAAATTCTTTTATAGAGTATTGGAAACAGATCGAAAAGCCTACACATTGGTGTCAAATGCCTAATCCATTACGACATCGTCAGAGTTTTATGTTCTCTGATGTGTTAAAGCTTGCAATGATAACACCATTCATACTTGGATGCTTTTTAAAACCTTGTCATATAAAGGCAGAGACTTTGAATAATTGGCTTACAACATCTAGGATAAGACAAAATTCGGCAGTATCAAAATTATGTATGTGTTGGGTAATTGAAGCTAAGGCACTAAAACTTGTATTCTCAATTACTATGACAGAAAATATTTACCAGAAATTGCAGGAATATCTTAAAAGAGAACATGATATGCTTATACAGGTTAGTGAACGAAATTGAAGGTTTCAGCTACATTTATTAATAATTCATTTTAATACTATTTTTTAATTTTTTTTATTTAATAGCTATTTCCAAATAACTTTACAAATCTTCCTAATTTACATATAAATATACATCTTTTACAACATGCTCGTAATTTTGCCACACTCGTAAATACTGCTGTTGGTGTGAAAGAAATGGTTCATCGGATATTTAAGGGAATGGTTCCACATATGAACCACAAAGTGATCGAACTTGATCTTACCTGACGATATAATATAGTACAGGCACTACGACATCTTGTTGATGGTTAGACAGACTCCCGCTTTAACACAAAAACTAACGCGCTAAAAAATTTAACTACAGATTCAAAGCTTTATGCAATATTGTTAGGCTAGTATGCTACAGAAAGTCCATTTACATTTATGAATGAAGAAGATAATGGTAAATATTTATTATTAATTTACAATGAAATCAAAATTTCTTAATTAAATTACATAACTGACTTTCAATATTATTTAGATATGATATCAACGGTATGCTATGACAAAAATTTTATTGATATTTCGCTTTACAACCAATGGGATGCCAAAAAAATTAAGAGTAAAGGTTTATCGAAAAAGTTAGATGAAATCATCCATTCTTTCAGGACCTATATAGAGCATATGCTGATTATTTATATTCAAGTGCTGCAATAATGAATAAGAAAATAGAATTTTATAGTTCAATTGCGTATACCATTCTCAAAAGTAATCAAGAACCTATACGATTGAAACTACGAATTGGTGATATTGTTGAACTAAATGAAGAATCTGAAGGTATTGCATATGCAAGGATCAATTCAATTATTCAGCATCAAGCAAACAATGGTCACTATTATGCTTTTTTTTATTTGATTGGTTTCAGGTAACAGACCACATTGATACTGTATCAGAATGCTTACTTTACGATATCTAAAAGCCTGAAGAGTTGCGTTGGTATTGAATCTTTCCAATTAATTTTATCGATTATATATCTTATGTTCATTTTATACATAATTGTACAAATACATGCAGCAATATTAAGCATGATGAAACTAATCAAAATTATATTTTAAATGAATTTTATTATAAAGCAATATAGATGGATGAAATATTAAAAGATAGGAAATTTCAAACGTTTCGATTTAGGATTATTTATTAGATATT